AAGTATCCTTCGTTCTTACTATTGCAGAGAGGCGCAGTCCCTGGGGGACATGGGTAACCAATCTCAGAGAAGCAGTGGCTAAGGGCTGTGATTGGGAGTGCGTGCTGGCTGGAGTGAGGGTGCCTGGTCCTTTCCTCCCAAAGGGTCCATTCCGGAAATAGGGCCTCTTCTGGCTTTCTTGGAGTTGACGGTGGTGTCTAAGCAAGGGGGACTACTGACTTCCACTCTGAATTCGTTGGAGAGGATTATCACTGAGCGGGCTCCAAGCACCGGTGTGTTATCTCAGTTTGATAACCCTCCTTATTCCCTCAGTGAAGGGAGAGATCCACGTTGCAGGCCAGCGTGCTCAGGTGGCACCCTGAAGCCGACCTGGACCACAAAACTGAGCTCTCACCGCTCACTGCCCCACCCCACACAAACCTGAGTTTGCACTTAAGTTCTTAGGCTCCCAGAGCAAGGGACCGAGGGTGCTGGAGCACCGTAGACCTACTTCTCCTTTCCAGAGTTTTCTCTTTCCATTCCCCTACTCACCCAAATAGCACTGATGTGCCACGGGAGTCGCACTGCTGGCTGGAGTGCGGCCACGCTGCGCAGATCCCAGGCCCGGCCATCATCTTCCCTCTGCCTCCGCCTCGGGTGGGCATGGGGTTCCAGGGGTCAGCGGACAAACCCCAACCCCCAGCCGATCGCAGCTGGCTCAAATCTCCCTTCCCTCCCAGCAGCTTCAGAGGCCGGTGTGGATCCATTTCGTGTTTCAAACTACGATCCAAACCAACACGCTAGCGCGCAATGTGTAGACAAGAAACCAGCCCAAGGAGCTGAAACAAGGGACTCTCCAGAAAAGTGCGCCCAGCTGCTGCTGGATACCAAAGTCCTCCGGGGACCTTAGCAAGATTTTATGTAGGATATTTTAATTTGTTTTCTTCCGCGGCCAGAACTGCAGGGCGCAATTGCACGACCCGGCTTCGACCGCTCTGGCACAGCCCGGCAGCGGGCCAGATTCTTGGTTTAAAGGGTTGTAGCTTCGTATTAGGGTCAGAGCTGTGCAAAAATGCCGGGGAGTTACAAGGTCACCCTACTCAAGACATATTACCTTATGAAACAAGACCGGTCCCCGGTACTCGGAAGTCTTTCCTGAAATTTTCTTAAAATATCTCACAAAAATAGTTTATTTCTCAAAAGTTTTCGTGCACATCGAATAGGGCCACATCGATCCAGGCGGAATAATAGTGAACACACCCCTAACCATTTTCTTGATTTTCCATTTAAAACCCTGAACCTCGTTATATGTGAATTATAATAAAGAAAAATGTACTCAAGTCCATTGATTCAAAATAACATTAGACTTTTAATATAAGCCCTCTGTTTTTCTAGTTAAGAACGTTTAGGCCCGGATTGTTGGAGCAGGCTGGGGGCTATGGAAATTAAGAAAGTAAAAAATTAAAAGCGTATTCTTTCCCAGCCTCCTCTGAAACTGGCCAGAGGTCGCTGCCTTCAGACTTAGTCCCCCTACAATTGCCGGAGAACTTAAGGCTGCAGCCCCTGTGGCCCCATCTCTCTTTGACTTCGAGGGGCGGCGGGGGGGGGCTACAAAAAGATCCTGGTTCTTTAACTAAATTCAAGCGAGATTTCGGCGGAGTTTACATACTTCATCGTGTGTGGATTGTGTCTGTCTGTACACGGGGACCAATAAATACCTCCAACGTTTCAACATTTTGTCTAATTCGAAAAAATCGGAACTCGCCCCCTCTGCAGCGGCGCCAGATCGGCTGCGGCCGGGTCGCAGCGGCCGGGATCTGAGCGCCGAGAGCACTTATTCTGGAGCGGCGGCGGAGGTGGCAATCTGCTCTCAACGAAAACCTGCGTGCACCGAATCGAAAGCGAAAGAGGAGGTGGCAGGGCCGGTCCCCACGGGACCGGCATCCCTTGACCCGCCCGCAAAGCTCCGCGAGGTCTTGAGTCGCGGGAGACCGGGATCTCTACGCAGCGTCGGGTCTCCACCCGGCAAGCAGCTCCTGTAGCTCGTGCTGAGCGCCGGCAGAGACTGCAGGAGGCCGAAGGACTGGCGAGGAGATTTACGGATCTGGATGGCAAAAGGCGAGGGTTCGGTGGGGCTCCTTTGTAAAAAGCGCTAGTGCCCCGCGCCCGGAGCTGATCGCAGAGTCAACCAGAGCATTGCCCTTTTAGTTATAGGGGGAAACTGAGTCCATAACTGCGTACGGACGCCTGAGGCCAGGAGAGGATTTCCCTCATCTGCTGTTTAGGCAACTCCTAAAAGCTCTCTCTGGGCTCGGCCCTAGTGCAGCCCCCACGCCTGATTTTTCTTCATCCGATGGACCGCGGCTGAAGTCTGGGAGACTCTCCTCCATCCGGAACTGCTTTGGAGCCTGGACCCCTACAGCGAGGACTAACCTCCATGTGTTGTAGTTCCAGGGGGCCAAGGGAGGCCTATCCCCAAGCTCCATTTCTGCCTAGGCCTTTTGCCAGCCCAGTTTCTTGGTACAAACGAGGATTTTCCCTGGAATCTCATCTTCTCTTTCAGTACACACCCCATAATAGGCGCTAGGGAATTGCTGTCAATGAGCCCCTCAGTTTCCCTGTTTGTTGGCAGATTATAGTGCCGGGGGCATTCTCTTGGCTACTTCTATAAAGGTCTGATCCTCACCTCTTTCTGACTCCTTGTGCCTCAGTTTCTATTAATTGGACCCACTGAAATCCTTCATGAACCAGAAGGCTCCTGTGGGCCAGAGTCTCAGCTTTGAGAAAGGACAGGGAAGGTGAATCACTAAGAGAACTGATTCCATATCAGGCAGTAAACGCAGCAGGACCCTGGCAGTGCCAAGCAGTCTTTGCTTCCAACACGCATTTATGACTTTGCCCTAGCAAGAGCAGGGGCTTGCCCTGTCCTCAGAATGGACAGTCCAAACAGCCCTGGGTCGGGGGAAGAGTGTTTAGAAGGAAGACAGCAGAGGGGAGGGATGAGCATTTACAACATCTCTATTACTGTCCTGGTATCAATTCGGAAATGGGAATTTAGTGGAGTTCCTTGCTGTCAGGTCACACGGTGGGTTAGGAACAGCCCCAGGTCAAGTGGCTGACCCTTTCCTCAGCCCTGATTACTAATGCAAGTGGTAGAAAAGCTCAGCCTGGCCTGAAGGCCTCCATAAGACAGAGGGAAGGGCCTAGCCTTTGCCCTCTGGGTCCTGAAGGCATCTTTCTTACCAGGAGTTTGGGAACAGTTTGGTTCTTCTCTTGACTAATATCACAGCATCTTCTGATGAATTTCTTTAAACTATAAAAATGCAGTTAGGGAGAAAACAAGTGAACCCCTCGATTTTGTACAATGCACTTTCCTGGGTCTGCCATTGGCTTTGACCCAGCAGTTCCAGATGACAGGGCCTGGGTTCCTGGAGCTGGGCAAGGAAGGAGCACCTGTGTGGTACCTGATCTCATTCCAGACTGAGGTGAAGAGCAAAGGTGGTCTAAGTGAGGAAAGGCCACCAAATCTTGCTAAATCTGTTCTCAGTTCCACCCTGTGGCTTTGGGAATCTGTAGCTAGATTGAGGTCGCATTTGGTGTATGACCACATCGGCTAATAAAGAAATGTGTGCACGTGTATAGAATTCATGTGTAGATGTATGTATGACTGTGTGTCCAAAGTTACCCACAAACGTAGTTTAAACCTGTTGGGCAGCAAGCTTGAAAATGAGAAAATGTGTGTGTAAGGCGAGGGTGGTTTCCTGAGGTTACTCTGGCCAGCAAGGCCTCTGTTCACCTCTGTCCTCAGTCCTATCGCCTCTGTACCCCACCTGGAACAGCATAGTCATATCCATTACCAGTCAAGAACCAGTCCATCTCACTAGTTTCCAGCTTGAAAACAAAGGCCTGGGAGTGAGAAGGGAGGGTTCCCTTCTCCCTTTTCTCTTCTTTGGGGTTGGGGTTCTCCTAACTCCAATTCTGTGAAGGAAGAGAAAGTCTAAGGATTTGAACTGCTCTGGTTTCCTAACTTCTTTGGGCAGCTCTCTCATCCACAAAGGTGGCTGTGTACAGGGAATTCAGGCCTGTCTGCGTTCAAGGGGGCTTAGAGGTCATTTAGACTAGCGCGCTCAGGTTCCTTGTGGGCCCAAATCGGGCTCTGGACTCTTTCCTTCTCCCAGGGCCCTCTGCTGCCTGGATCTCAGAACTTCCTACTTTCCATCCCGCCCGGTCCTAAAGCTTTTCTTTCCGAGGCTGCTACTTCCAAACATCTCAGTAGGCGAAGCGTCTGAAAAACCGGCGGGCCGCGGTCCCCTCTGGCAGCCTCACTCCGGGTCAGGACCCGGACTTTGTCAGGCACCAGGCTTTCAGGACCTGGACCCGCTAGTGCGTAGCGACGCAGTTTCGCCGCTTCCAGCGCCCACTGCGCTGCGGACTCCCTGCGGCGTTCCACACCTGCGGCGCTCTTACCTGCAGCGCTGCGCACCGAGCCTCGGAGCCGGCAAAGAGCGAGGCCTCTGTGGTCCCGGAGCCCGGCGCCGGAGCGCTGCCCTGGAGGCTTCCAGCAGCTGCTCCCCGGGAGCCTGGACGAAGCATTCGCTTCAAATCCCGCCCCGTGGGGCAGCGCAAAGCTAGGTGGTTTGGATGAACCGCGAAGAAACCAGGGAAAGCAACTCTAGGGAGAGGTGAAGAGCCGAAATGACCCGGATGGATGTTCCGAACAGGGATGGGAAGGAGGCAGAACCGATGGATGCCCCGGCCCAGGATGGGAAGAAGGCAGAACGAATGGATGTCCCGAACCGGGTTGGGAAGGAGGCAGAATGGATGGATGCCTTGACCTGGGATGGGAAGGATGGCTGCCCCAGCCCAAAAAGGTAAGAGAGAAGAACGGATGGATGCCTGGGCACCCTCGAAGCGACCACCCTTGTCTCCCCAGCCTCCACCTCCAGCTTTCCGGCAGCGGAGCGGATTGGGCAAGTTTGGAAGCCTCGCGTCCGGCCCCTCTGCCCCGCACGTGCACTCACCGTAGCAGGGGACCTGCAAGGCCGCGCTGTGGCTGCCGCTGCCTTCCTGGAGTTTGAGACTGCCGTCCGGGGGCGTCTTGCAGGCGCCTCGCTGCAAGTAAAGATGCGCTTGCTGCGCGGGCGGCTGCGGAGGCGGCTGCGGCTGGGGCTGCGGGGTCGGCGGCTGCGGCTGGAACTTGTTAAAGGAGCCCCGCGCCCCGGCGCCACTCTCCAGCGGGGCCGCCAGGTCCTGCTGCCCGGCGCCGTAGCGGGCCCTGTTCTTGGCGTCCCCGTAACCCTGTCCTTTGGCGGCGGCCGACAGGAAAGTTGTACCGAACTTATCGCCTCCTGGGAAACCCCTAAAAGGCGACGAACCTTCCCGGCTCTGCGACACCGGGCTGTAGTAGGCGTCCATGGCAGCGGCCGAAGAGTTGCAGTAAGAGATACAAGTCTCGGCGTTCATGCCTGGCCTGCGCGGGCGACGGGCGGGGGCGCCGGCGAGGGCGCGAGGACGCCACCGCGCGCTTTGGCCGGGAGTCTGGAGACGAGAGGAGGCGGTGGCTCTCCGCGCCTGCTTGGCCTGGGGCTGTCTCCCTCCTCCCTTCTCTCTCTCTCTCTCTCTCTCTCTCTCTCTCTCTCTGCACTAATATTCCAATACTGTATTTTTTCCAAGGGATTTTTTAGTTAAAACATTTTCCTCTGACTTTTATCTCTCTCTCTCTCTCTCTCTCTCCTCTCTCTCTCTCTGTCTCCTCGCCCCCCACAGCTGGCTGTAAAAAGATTCCGATATTTCGGAAAGTTCGCCAGATCTCTCAAACCCTCTTAAGGTTTTGAGACAGGAAAAAAAAAGATCCCCCCCCCTTGCTTCTTCCTCCTCTTCTCCCCCCTGCTCTCTTTCCTCCCGCCCCTGTCCCTTCCTTTCCCCTCTCCCTCTCTTGGAGATGCCACTCACTAGCCAGGGACGATTCCACCCGCCACCTAGAGATGCCCCGAGGGTCTTTTGGATCCTAGGCAGGGGTAGGGAGGCATGGCAACCCCCAGGGCTCCGATGCTGGGCTGCGAATTGATGCTTCGTCTCGGCTAGGGTCTAAGGGTATGCGGGAACGCAAATTTTATTGACAGGTTAAAAAAAAAAATCCTAACAGGTTTTGACATTTGGAGTCAGATGGGCCGCTGGCCTGGAGAATCCTTTGAATGCTCTTGGGTGAACTTGGCTGTGCAGACCCTGGGCCTGCCTGCAGGGACCTTTTCCTGAGTTTCCAATCCTGCCTCCCCATTCCTGGTTCCTCAGAGAAATTCACCACACATAATAGATTTGGTGGCGGTCCTGCCCCCCCCAACACACTTTGACGTCTTAACTATTTCCCTACCCTGTAAGGGCTCTAGGCTTGGGTGCAGTGGGATCTATGACTGCTCAGCCACTGGTGGACCCTAGACTGGACAGAACTGGCCTAACTTAAACTCTAGAGCATCCCATCCCGTCCCCTTTTCAGGTCCTGCCACTTTTGCCTGGTCCCCCCTCTCCCCCCCAACAAGGTCAAGTTGTGAATGAGGAGTTCCTAGACCCCTGGCCTTATGGGATAGTTGGTTACTACCTTTTAGGGCAAGAGTGATATCTCTCTCCCACCCCCCTGCATTGTAAAACAAAAGACTCAGATTTTGTTGTTGTTGAACCCATCTCATTGGGTAGCCTAGGCTTGGAACTCCAGATCTGCCTTCAGAGTGTTGGGATGACAGGCCTGGACTACTTACACCCATGGCTTGAATTTGTGTGGACACCTGGACCTGCACACAGCAAGGGAAGGAACTTTCACCGACTGGCAAACCCTTCCACATAACTAAGCACTGACTGCACCTCACAATCAGTCAGTGGTAGGACCCTAATTTTCCAGTGAGCAATCTGAGGCCAGGAGAGGTGCAGACACCAGGCCAAAATCACACAGTGAGAAGTAGTGCAGAAAAGTAGCTGTGTTCTCCTTGGAACCCGTGCAGAAGCCAATCCCTTCACCGGCCTGAGAAGTTGAGGTCAAGGCCAGCAGTGGAACACCGCCCCCCCCAAGATAATAGGTCTCCAGCTGCTGCAAAGCTCAGGTGAAAGGAGACCCATTAGTATGCCCACTTTCTGCACCTAAAGCCACCCAGAGAAAAAGTATAGGGGGTTGTCCATCTACCTCCAATCCTACCTATTCTTGCCCCCACCCCACCCTTGTTATCTCTGGTCCTTACTTGAAGCAGACTGCACCACCCCACATCTGGTTTCCATCGCTGACTTACCTTGAAGTGCTCGTTAATAAAAATATTCCTCAGAGCCAGGGGCGCCCAGGCCCAAACCCATCCCCCCATGGCTGGTCAGAAACTGGTGTCTGTCTCTCTCTGGCCAGCAGACCTAAAACACTAGAAAGTCTTAAGTTTATTGAATGTCTATTGCACCAAAAGCCACATCAGTGTGTTCACATAGGTCTTATGGTATCATACCTCTTTTGCATATGGGTAGACTGAGTCCCTAAAACCCAAATTATTATTCAGTCTCAGTAAAAGGGTAGGTGAAATACCATCATCCTGAATGTCTGGCCAGTTTCTTTTGGTTCCTAGAGTCTGTGGAGTCTGGCACCTCAGGATAGGTGGTTCCCTTTCTATCATCCCCTAAGCTTTTATCTGGCTCATGATTTAGGGCTCATCCCCTCTGAGCCCAGGTTGATGCACCCACTTGCCTCCCTTAATGCCAAACCTTGGGAGTGCCCAATCACTACATGTGTTCCCAGCCCAACTAGCTGATGCCACCCCCAGAGCCACCTTCTGGTCTTGGTACCCCACAAACATTTGAAGAATAAAATATTAATTTTGGGGCCAAAGAACTCTCGCCTCTCCATTCCTTCCAACCTTCCAACACAGCTCAGAGTTCTAGGAGCTTACAATTTCCTTTAACCGAGGACAGCCAGTCTCCTGTTTGGCTCCTCTTCCAAAATCAAGTGTCAGAAATTAATAGCATGCTGGTCTCTCCTGGGCTGCACCCCCATCCCCAGAACAGTGAGTTCTCTTAAAGCAGGGGCCAGGCCTGTCTTGTGCACCGCAGGGCTTGGCACAGCACAAACACTCATAAACTGCTTTGAATGAATGAATGAAAACGTCATGCAGTTCCCAGAGGCACAGAGACTCATTTCAGTCCAGGGGTTTTGAGCAAAATAGGAGTGACTGCAGTCCCTGGAGCCAAAAAACTTCCCTCAGGCATCCAGATGCTGGCTGCCATCCTTCTACATCCTGGCTTAGAGAGGAGGGGAGGACTATGAGAGGGAATTGCAGCAGCAGGCATGGGGGACAATTGCAATGACATGATGTTCCTACTCCCCCCTACCCAGGGGTGCTCAGTGTATATCACCTAAGAAGCTGCTTCTCGCCACCACCTGACCTGAACTTCACTTACTTAATTACTATCTCATCCGTGCTTTTGGTGACCACCTGGGGATTTGAACCTTGAGCCCTCCACTGAACAGAGTCTTAGAATGAGGGCCTTTGACTATCTGAATCACAGCTTATAACTACACCAGAGGGCTGAGTTTGTGCCCAAGGGTGAGGAAGCACCTGTGGGTTTGACTACATCTGAAAGATGACATTCTAGGCAAGTCCTTTGACAGTGCCACCTTTAACCTCCATTCAAACCTCCACTGATCCCCTCACTTGGATCTGTTCCAACGCCTTACCAGGGAAAATGATGCCAAGTGTAACTGATTGTTCCTCAACTCATTTACTTGCCCATTTGTAAATCTAACCATCCCCCTGCCAGAGTGGAATACCTGGCCACTGTCACCCAGCTCCTTCGAAAGGAGCAGGGCATATTTTCAATCTTTATGTCATATGGATGCCACTGAGGCTGGCTCTGGACGCAGCCTCTGCTCCCTGGATTCTGTTCACCGATGAGGTTTCCCCTCCACTTCTCTCTAGCTCTCCTGAGGTCCCTTAATACACTGGTGGTGGGTGTCTCTATAGCTACAGTCACTTTTCTCCTGCCTGGGAACAAAGCAGGCCAGTGCTTGACTCCTGTACCTTCTACCCCAGGTACCCTAGCTTCCCTCCTCTCCCAGACAGTTCCATAGGAAGGGGCTTGCTCTTTCCCAGGACTGGGAGCTCTACACATGGGAGCCCCCAGCTCTAGTATGAGATGTCCCTTTATTCCTCAGCTCTAGTATGAGATGTCCCTTCCTGGAGAGGGTCTTATATGATTCTCTGGTTTACTGTGTATCCTTTCTTTTAGAATGCCTCTCTGTGTGCCATGTACAGTACAGTACACAATACTGCTCAGATATAGTCTGTTAAATAGGTGACTGAATAAATGAACAAACGCATATTGAGAACACTGCGGAAGGCCAGAGAACTGTTGGGTGGTTGTTCAGAGTTGGAGCTCTTGAAGCAGAACCTAGGTGTATGGGGGTGCTGGTGATGGGGGAGCTAAGTTGGTTAGAGGGTCCCTGGTCTAGAAAAAGCACAGCAGACTCTCATGTCTTTCAAAGGGAAAGGGAAGGACAGATTGGGGTTACTTTCTTTGGTCCAAGCTGCTACCAGTTTTTCAGTCCTCCACTGCACTCCTTCACTGCTGAGCAGACAGTGGAACTGTGGAAAGGGCTCTGCAGCCTCTGATCTTAGCCATCACTATTTACCAGCTGTGTGGAGTCACCTGCTTCCACAGCCTCAGCTGTGAACTGAGTAAAACTGAATCTGCCCAGCTCAGTTGAAGTTGAAGGTTCTCATAATTTGTAGGTATTAAAAGACATTGTGGACACTCAGGTGGATGTCGGAATTAATTTATAAAGCCTGGAGGCCAGGGATCTTACAATCTTGGAGGAAATGTTTTTGATAGCAGACTCCTGTTCATAAACCTCAGACGCTAAAAAAATGTGCAAGCGGGTCTCAGGTCCTGTCTTGCATCTCGAGATCTCGGCTGTCCCCTCTATAGCCTTATGGTGGTACTGTTATCCTGGCTTTATGAAGAAAAGGTCGGAAATGAGGGGTGACATTGCATTTGCTCACAGTCACACAGCAAAGCCGAGCACTTGGGATTTGAACTTGGGATTCCGGCCCAGGTGATCGGAACATCAGAATCCATGCTGTCAAATGCTAGCTGTGAATCTCAGTCATCTCAGGAGAATGGGCGCTAGAAAAGCAGCTACCCTCCTGCACCACTTCTGCGGGCTTGACAGCAGCCAGCTAGTGCGCCTGGGACTCTACACTGTCAACCGAGGTCCTCCGCACGGACCCAGTGAGCCCTCCGACACCGGTAGACAGCCACCTGGGCCAAGGTTCGCTTCCAGTCACTGAGGGTGGGTCGCAGTCTGCCCAAGTGTCCCTGGAACGCAGAGGCCACCGCACCTTCCAGCGCCAGGCTCTGGACCCGTGTCCGCCGCCGAGCGGGGCTGGGAAGGAGCTGACCAAGGCTTTCCAGGCTCCGAGGCCGCGGCGGCGAGGGCGTACCGAGCTTCAGACTGGGAGTGGAGGGGTCGCCAGAGCGCGGACTTGGGGAAGAGACGCAGGACAGGGTACGGCCTCTGCTGCTTAGCTTCCTGGAGGGCATCTAGTTGCCGGCTCAGCTCACTGGGTCCCGCACTCCCGGATTAGATGCTTAACGATTTCCGAAACCGCAGCT